GTTGGTGCTTATATTAAAAGTTCTATGATTAGTCTTTGATGTTGCAGGCTAATTAAAAGTCCACAGTATTTGCTGCACTGATCTTTTAAATGTGAATGAATATATTATCTCCTGTGTATATGCTTCTTGCATTGAAGTATCCATCACAGCTTCCAAGACATTCTGCTCTTCTTGATTAGATTTTATTATTCAATCCAATAAATACTTTTAAATATTAACAACCAAATACTGAATGTGGTTCATCATCAATGAATTATTCCATATTTTCTTGTAATGTTGTGTATAAATAAGCAAGTTTATGAAGTTTGGGATACAATCTTGGACACTCTACTGGAGCACTGATTGAACTTAAATAGCTGTAGGCATCCTTCATTCTCGAGATACTATGGTAACGTGCTCGGAATAGAACAATGTCTAGTATGGCTGAGAAGGACAATTTGAGAGTGACAATTCTTTCCACACTGAAGACAAATGCAATCTGTCCCCTGTCCAGCTCCCTGATTTTGCTGCTTTTAGGACTGCCTCTTTGCCTCGGCCTGCTGAACAGGTGCCTCTTCAAATTGGGAGAGGCCATGATGCACCGCCTGCCTCCAGGCTGAACACTCAGATGTCAAGGTTTCCCATCTGTTGAGGTCCATTCCTAAGGCCTTCAGATCCCACTGGCAGATATCCTTGTATCGCAGCTGTGGTCTCCCTCTGGGATGATTTCCCTGCACTAATTCTCCATACAGGAGAGCTTTTTGAATCTGTCAGCCATTCTCACAACATGCCCGAGCCAACATAGACATCGCTGTTTTAGTAATGTATACATGCTAAACATTCCAGCTTGATCTAGGACTACTCTATTTGGAATTTTGTCCTGCCAGGTGATACCAAAAATGCGTCAGAGACAACACATATGGAACGTATTCAGCTTCCTCTCCTGCCGTGCACAAAGGGTCCAGGACTCACTGCAGTACAGGAGTGTGCTCAGGACACAGACTCTATAGACCTGGATCTTGGTATATGCTGTCGGCTTCTTATTAAGCCATACTCTCCTTGTGAGTCTAGAAAACATGGTAGCTGCTTTGCCAATGCATTTATCCAGCTCAACATCTAGGGAGACAGTGTCAGAAATCATTGAGCCAAGGTACACAAATTCATGAACAACCTCCAATTCTTGCATGGAGATGGTAACAGAGGAAAGTGAGTCCACACCCTGGCCCATGACTTGTGTTTTCTTCAGGCTGATTGTTAATCCAAAGTCTTGACAGGCCCATAAACATGGGACAGACATTACTGAGGGAATTTAGTGCTAGCAGCTTTGGGAAGTTCAAGCATACTATGTTTGAAAAGTCCAGATTAAGGCCAAAACAGTAGAGTTTTGTGGCAACTTAAAGAGTGACAACTGAATTATGGAACAATATTTTCTGGAGAGCAGTAAAATTAATCAGATACATAAAATATTGAGCTGAGTTACATGGCTTGCAGAGGGTGAGGTATAAGTAGAGAGGTAAAAGTGAAATTAAAGTACAGACAGTCATCTTAGTTAGTCATATTAGTCTTCGTCAACATGTATAAATAACAAAAAGAAAAAGAATTGGACAATCCTTAGAGAAGAGCAGATACAGTGTGAAATTTTGTGCACAGCTATCCACTATCTCAAACAAATGAAACATAATAATTAGAACATATGTTTATATAAGCAAAGGACATGGTAGTTAAGTCTTGTACTGAGCCTCGTGGCGCAGTGTTTAAACCACTGTACTGCAGCCAAAACTGTGCTCACGACCTGGGGTTCAGTCCCAGGTAGCCGGCTCAAGATTGACTCAGCCTTCTACCCTTCCAAGGTTGATAAAATGAGTACCCAGCAAACTTGGGGGGGGGCAATGTGTAGCCTGCATAATTAACTTGTAAACCACCCAGAGTGTGCTTGAAGCACTATGGGGTGGTATATAAGCAGCACACTTTACTTTGCTTTGCTTGACTTGAAATAGAATAGTTCTCCCACTTTTTTAAAATTTTGAGATAATCCAGGCTGCAGGGGATGAGACATTGATCCTCAAAAAATCCAATTCAAAAGGGGAAAATAACACTGGTTAAAAGACTGAGCATAGTTTTAACAGGCTTGCCAGCAAGGCTGTTCTAAAGCAAATACATTGTTGAAGCTTTGTGGGCCAGGAAGAAAAATGTTTCGAGGACAATGAAAAGTCACAGAAACAGTCAAAATATGATGTGTGATGTGTGTGTGTGTTTTAAGAGTCCAAAAAACAGTCTTGCTTTAACCGGAAGTTGAGCCATGGCAACTGGACTTCTTTCTTCTTAGGTTGAAATGTTTCACTACTCATCCAAGCAGCTTCTTCAGTCTGAGGAGAGTTGGTAGGAGATCCCTGATATATCCTCACTGTCGTTAACAGTGATATTTCTTGTGTGTGTCCCTAATCCTTCTGGGGATTGATGAAAGGACAGCATGATAAATAGGAGACAGATTGTGTCTAAAGTATCCTGTTAACAACAATCAATGACCCATCACAATGGGTGGAGAAGGACTGCAGTCTAAAGTATCCTGTTAACAACGATCAATGACCCATCACAATTGGTGGAGAAGGACTGCAGAAGTTAAAGGGATGTGGTGGCGCTACAGATTAAACTGCTGAAGCCTCTGTGCTGCAAGGTCAGAAGACCTGCAGTCGTAAAATCGAATCCGTGCGACTGAGTGAGCCCCCATCATTTGTCCCAGCTTCCACCAACCTAGCGGTGGAAAAAGCATGCAAAATGCAAAAATGCGAGTAAATAAATAGGTACCACCTCGGTAGGAAGGTAAATGGCATTCCATGTCAAGCCACGCTAGCCATGTGACCATGGAGAATTTCCTGAGGACAAAACACTAGCTCTATGGGTTGGAAACGGAGATGAGCACCGCCGCCTAGAGTCAGACATGACTGGACAAATTGTCAAGGGGAACCTTTACCTTTACCAAGTGGAGAACTTTTTAACTCCATCCTGGCCAAACAGGTACTAGTGTTAGGAAAGCCATTCTATGTCTGGTTGTAAAAATATTGTAAAAGTGGGGAACTTTTTAACTCCATCCTGGCCAAACAGGTACTAGTGTTAGGAAAGCCATTCTATGTCTGGTTGTAAAAATATTGTAAAAGATATTTTAAAAAGAATAGAGAATAAATATTCAGGAGCTCACTCGTTTAAGTCAGGATGGTCTGCAGGGTGCCCTCTTGTGCTCACTACCATTCCAGGATGGTCTACAGGGTGCCCTCTTGTGCTCACTACCATTCACAATGGATACCAAGCAAGGGAAATTGTTATCCTTTTTTCATCATTAACCATGTCTCATCAAAACACAAAGTAATTGTCTGGGCTGTTTTTGACAAGTGTGAATGGTAGTGAACACACAACGGTATCCTATAAACAAGTGGTTCCTAATCTTGGGTCCCCATATGTTCTTGAAGTACAACTTCCAGAAATTCTAGCCTGCACATATTGTGGTGAAGGCTTCTGGGAATTTTAGTCAAAGAACATCTGTGGACCAAGGTTGGGAACCATTGCTGCTGTAGACCATTCTGACTGCTCCAATAGATGTTGTCAACATTCAAATAGCCCTTTGTTATGGAAAGTTTGGCATCCTGCTTGCAATGCAAGCGTGATACTGTGTGTAGCAATACAGGGCCATTTTCTGGTGCTTTTAATTATGGAGAAGCACAATATCCTACACTCATGAACCAGAGGGATGATGATGATAATGATAATGATGATGATGATGAATATTTTGAAGAACTGAATCAACCTACAAGACCATAAATCTAGTGTAAATCCAAAGAAGAACTGAATCAATCCACAAGACCATAAATCTAGTGTAAATCCAAACAGACACAATCATTGTCTAATGACCCTCCAAAATAGAAATGTCATTTATCTCCTGGAAGTTGCCAGCATTTCTGCTTCTCAAGCTTCTTTGATGAGAAAGTTCCCTTGAATGGGTGCTACCAATGAATAATGAGGCCCTGATACTTGTGATCATAAATGTTCCAAGAGAAGAATACTCCATACAATTATATGAAAAACATATAACAGTCAAGAAAAGGTATTATATCAGAGAGTCTGAAACATATCTATAGGATGACTTATTTACAGTTAATTTGTAAATTAGGTTTCTCAGGATTGGAAAGAGAAAGAAGTCTGTGGATCAGAAAATAGTATGCATTTGCATAATAAAAGGATTCTGAAAAATACTTTTAAAATACAGTATATTATAAACAGAAAAATAGTTGTATTTATTTATTTATTTATTAAATTTATACCCCACCCCTCTAGACCATTTCTACTCGTTGTGTTAAACTTAACATTGTATATATAGCATTTGTTATTAAGGTTTACGAAGACTAATGCTTAAAAAGTAACAACAGTACTACTATAGTGTTGTAGCACCCATTCGATTGCTATATATACAATCTCAAAGATATCACTAACAAATGTCTGTAAGTCCATTATGAGTCAATACATTTTGTCTCTATATTTAAATTACCCTAATTCTCAGCCTCAGCATGAATAGGCCTTGAACACTGCCATTTAATTACACATACAGGTATTTCCATTACATAACTATACATTGTTTCAAGTTTCCACTGCCACAGGCTTATTGTTTCGCATTTAATACATTTGTTCTAGCTCATGATAATCCCCTGCCACACCCAATAAGACTTAGAAATATTTTTCCCAACCAAGTGCATAATTTAAACAAAACTGCTATAAAGCAGACAGTTTCTTTTAGAAAGAGCAGCACATACACAAAATACCCAGTGCTACTGAAAGATGGTAAACAAGGCACTGTTTAAGATGGAGCATATGGCTACCACAATATGTATAAAGAAACTATACATGGTGCACAGCTATGTAAACAGAAGGTACAGGCTAGCAACAGCCAGGGAAATCAGAAGGGCATCATTTGGCTACTGCCACTCCTAGCAATGTGACCAGCACACACAGACACACACAGAGACCAAAAGTACCATCCTTTTACTGTCTGCAGATGAAATCCTCCCACTCTTGCAGACTGGAGTAAGATTCAGGGTGAAATGTTTCTACCCCATTTCTCCTCCTGTACTAGATTTATACTTCTTTGGCACATCCTATCACTTCTGTACAGGATCAAAAGCACATTCACAAACCCACGTGACAAATACATCACTTCTAATAGAATCATTTGTTAATGGAGGCACACGAATGATAGGTTTCTTCCAATTCAGAAACAGTATCCATACAGGGGAGTTTCATGGCTGAAGCAGCCTTTACAGTACAAACATCGAAACAGAGATAGCCATGTTGATCCACAAGAAACAAACTGTGACCATACAAAAGCTGACATGTAAGAAACAGCAAAAGAGCTGGAAAAGGCTATACGTTTCTAAGGCGAGAAATTAAAGTTCTTCAAGCCAGCCCAACAGCCCAGAGGCAAATATTAGAGCAGCTACATTCTGTAGCTATGAGGATGCTACAGGGCTTCAAGAACAAACCCGGCGCAAGGCACGAATTCCACCCCACCCACTTCAAAGATTGGAGCTATTTTAAGATTTTTGCAAAAAGCAGCCACATTGTTTAAAGAGGGAGGGAGGGAGGAATGCTGCCGCTAGCATACAGTAATGCCAGTCCCAAAATAACGAGGTGGAGTAAGCAGGTGCTAGAAAGAACCAGCAGACAAAAAGGGATAAGTTGTATAAGACCGATGAGAGAGGCAATGGCATTTAAATTCAGCATCGACAAGGAAACAGTATAAAGGCTTTTAAGAACACACAGAGGATCAAAATCGCTCAGTACTTTGGGCGTGTATGGGCATATGCGGACAGAAAGAGAGCAAGCTGCATCAAAAATGTCGATCCTGCTTTCTTACAGCCGGATCCTAAAGTCCCACTAGCTTTAGCAGGACCTGCTAGAAGAGCGTGTGCAGCCCCGGCGTCCTCTTAGCCGTACCGAAGCCTTGAAGGCAGAGAGAAAACAGCCAAGCCATCCTCGCTCTGGCCACATTTCCGCAGAGGGTCTATTATACAACGTTCTTCGGCACGGACGAGCTACCGTATGCATTCTGAAAGACCCGCACAAGCATTGCCTTCAAATGCCTGAGCCACTGCGGTTCGCCCGGTGCCGGCATCCCGAAGCGCCTTCCCATCCGGCCCCCCTCTAGTTACC